TACTGTAACTTTTTGTAAGAATGTCTGGAAACCTCAGAATTCGCTGAAATTGGATACACAAAGAGTTTTGACGTGCAAATTGAGATTATGCTACTCATTCTCTTTGGGAGGACCTCATAATGTGCCTACGGTAAATTCGTAGACGATAACGGGGGGAGGCGCTTCTATGAGACACTAAGGGAAGGGGTTGGAGTCGTAACCGGCGGTCATGCGTTATATCTCTTACTCAACCCTGCTGTTCTCGCACAGGTGTGCTTATGATTCGCAATAACCACAACAGTAAATAAGATAACGCCAATAAGGAAAACCGTTTTTATTCCAGTTGTATCCCCACAGAAATGGAGATCACTAGTCAGCTCTCCCGATAATGAAATTGAAATTTTGAAAAAACTTTCACAAGTGAAAAAGGCCTTGTTGGAAAAGCTCCGCTTTCCATTATAATCGAACACACTGTTCGGAATACTCTTCTTCAAAAGCGTTTCAATGCCTGTCGTTCAATAGTTTAGCATTGAATTCTAGTTTTATTCGACGTTGTGAAGAGCTAATAAATCGATTCTCAGGTCCACATTCCCTTCTGGCGGACGATACGCAGGGCATTGGCTAGGGGACAACACCGCCACATGGCCAGATCTCCAGTCGGCCGTGATCGGTGCTCAAGAATTTAATATGTTTGGTTATCCGTGAGTTTATGCAGTCACATATCGGCCGTTAGGGAAAGAAACCTAAACGCAAAAGTCATATATGGAAACCACATCCAGATATATCGGTTCCGACATATGCGGCTTCAATGGTAACTCGGCAGAGGAACTGTGTTTAAGATGGCAACAAATGGGAGCGTTCCACACCTTCATGAGGTACCAAAAGTCTAAAAGATGGCGTTGCATAAAAAAGTCTACTCACAAAAACCATTTGTTTTTTGTAGGCTAGTACTTTTAGCGATTGATGTCCTAATGCACAATATGCATATCATTGGATGTGTTTCATTAATGTAGCGTAAACTATTGGAAGGTCGGACATACCCCCGCGATGAAATCGTTGCGAATAATCGTCGCGATCTGCTAGGAAGTAGCGACGAAAACGCGCGACGGGATCGCTGACCTCTCAAACAGAGGCATACCTCCGCAGCAATTTATTTATTTTACTCCAGCGCACATATTATCGAATCATAATTAATCTCAATCGCGCTTCGATGCAGAGAACTCTCCAAGTGCTACATCATCCATAAAGGAAAGGCTTGTAGTTGTTCGTTGTTGATGTAGCGTTCACTATTTGTCCCTTGATTGATATTTGAACTTATAGGCATAGCCGCTGCCAGTATGCATCTTTTTCTTCAGAAATTACTTTCATTGTATGTGGGTAAAGTTACGATGAGTTGTTAACAATTTTGGTGTGATACAAAGTTCGATTGTTAAATCGAATCGATCAAAACGTTGGATCATGTCAGCAATCAAACAACAAATTGAATAAGATAGACAAAGTCTGGATATGAAACAATGGATCACGAAAAACCAATGCACTCTGGCAAAATTGGACTAGTCTCCAGATCCTAGACAAAAAGCCAATTTCAACGCGAATTCGCTGAGATGAGCCAAAATCACGGCGATTTCGCTAGCCAGGTATGGGCTAGCAAAAAACGGTCAGCGACGAGTCGCGTCGGACAACTAGCACGGACAAAAAGCTGATAGGGTTGCTGCAGACATGTGACACTTGTCTTTCGGCAGCAATGGACTGATTCGCTGCCTGGTATGCCCGACCTTTGAGGGAGAGAGCGCGAAAGCAAGAGCGTATGAACCGAGCTTCATCTTCCCTTTGGAGCGCTCACAGGAAAATCAAGCTTTTATAAGTGGAGTGACATCTGGTTATTTAACAATTAATCAATTAGTCGAAAGTTCAGCATTGACGCAATGGACGCCTACACAACACCATAGTGGTGCAAAGCCATATTCTAAGCAGGAAAAGTATTCTTTCCAGGAACCATAATGCCATTGGTCTTCCACCTCAAGATCCCTCCATGTGGAAAACTGTCACGGATGCCACCATAAAAGCCAATCTTTTCCGCTATGAATACCTACCATATTTATACAGGTGATTAGTAATACAATCTACAGTATAAGAATTGAGGAATTTTCCCTTTAGCTTACACTTTGAAGCATCCATGTACGGAAAGACAGTAATTCGACCAGTTTTCTATGAGTATCCCACTGATACTAGGACTCATGATCTAGGCGATGAATTCTTGTGGGGTAGTTCCATGCTTATTGCCCCAGTGCTAAAGGAAGTTAGTCTTGAAGAGCTATATCGTGTTTCATCGTTGTATAATATTGAAAATGTATCGCTTAGGGGGCTACTAGCGTGCTAGCCTACTTGCCTGTAGATGATTGGTATTCTGTGTTTGACCATAAGTATGGACAACTTATACCGCATGGAGAGCAAACGTTTCCCGCTCCGTGGGAATCTTTGATTCCAGTCTTCGTTAGAGGTTAGAAATTAACTGCTAAGCAGGAAAAACAAGCTAGATAATACCAGGTGGAACAATAATTCCATGCCAAAGACCCAACATCACAACGGAGTACACAAGGAAAAATGCTTTCAAATTAGTGATTGCTCCAAAAGCAGGCACGGCTACGCTTATAACATAAGACTTTTTGTATAGCCTGATCCAAGTCGTTTTTAGATAAAGCTGATGGCTTCCTTTACTGGGACGATGGTGACAGCATAGTCGATTCTTTCTCAACATACTCTTACTATCATTGGACTTTCCATTACAATCAGCATGAATCTAGGGCGAGTCTGACTATCAAAAGAACAAATAAAGCTGTAAGTTAATCTTTCAAACTACGAGGTGTTAGGTCTGTTCAGGTGTGGATTTAGAACAATCTGCAAATTCCTACACTTGACACTCTGGAAATTTTCAATTATAAGAACTTCGCTGATTTTGATGACTTCACTTTGAATGGCGAAAAGGTTTGTGGAAAGCTTTTTCCATTCAATGTCCAAGTTGCAGTATAGCAACAGTAGCTTCAAAGATCAAACACGGCCGTTAGATAACTTTCAATATGATCTCCTCAAAAAGCATAAACTCTTTATTCTTGTCGTTTCAGGTGGAGATTGACAAAGAAGCTTCAAACTACAAATCGGACGAAAAAATTCTGTACATCACAAAGAAGGGTTTTATTG